GGGGGGGGAGCCATAGGTAAACACAAGTAATACTATTAGCGTTCGGGTTAAGGCTTCTAAAAATATATAAAAAGACTACCTTATTGGCCAGGCATATTTATTTCTATTTCACAAATCTCCACGAAAAAAAGTTTGTGTGTGTGCGCGTGCGTGCTTTTTCTGCCAACCAAACGTCAGCTATTTTTAGGCTAAAATAAAATGTAGTACACACAGTTCGTCAACATTAGATTCTGCTCTTCTAAATTAACTTGGAGGCGTCACTGAGACAGTTAATACAGCTTTTTTTTTATCTGAAAATGGTAAATTTGACATTTTACAAGTATGGAGGGGGTGGTTGGGGGGGGGGGGGGAGCTGAAAAAGCGCGTGAATACGGGTGAAGTTTGTGGGTAGAATAGAAAGAAGCCTGTTTGGAGAAAATCGGCGAGCAGTTTGAGTGTGAATAGTGTGTTTTTTTTCTGCAAAAAACTACTAGGCAGTTAGCTGCTGAATCTGGGCTGGTTAAATCCCCATTTTAGCCCCGATGTACGCAAAGCTGGCATACGTCTGCACGTACTAATAGAGGATTATGCTTCGGGTAGTTTAATGAACGATTCTCTCGGGCATACTCTATCTTAAGTTTGCGATCAAAGACCAATTGCGTAGCAGTTCAAGTGGTAGCTGAAAGTGAATGGAATAGCATTTTGAAATTAACACAAAATCACAAGTTCCCATTACTAGAGTGTATGCCAACATATATATCAAACAGGAGGCGTTTCGATCGTTATCATTAGCCCTTTAGCTGACTTCGGGCTTCACAGAGGGGAGGAGGAACATCAAAGTAAGAAAAAGTCGAGAGGGGGAACAGAAGTGATTCACAGATGTTAGAGACAGAGACGCAAATTCAGAGAAAAGGTAAGCTGAATACTGCGGAAGTGGTGTAATATGACATACAGCCAGTGGGGTCATGATGATTTAAAATCAAAAGTTGACTGCTTGTTTATAGACTTTTTTGCCGTATGAGAATACGTTGCCCAGTAATAGACTTTTTTGCCGTATGAGTATACGTTGCCCAGCGGTTTATAGACTTTTTGCCGTATGAGGTCACGTTTCCAAGCCATTTAATAGACTTTTTTGCCGTATGAGTATACATTGCCCAGGGCGTACCACGTGGAGGTAAGTCTATCGCACACCCCACATTGCTATTTCGCACAACGTGGAGGTAAGTCTATCGCACACCCCATTCATTAAATATATCACGGAGGTAAGTCTATCGCACACCCCGTATTTTAGACTTTTTTGTCGCATGAGTATACGTTGCCCAGGGTGTTAGACTTTTTTGCCGTATGAGAATACGTTGCCCAGGGTGCTCCACGTGGAGGTAAGTCTATCCCTTACCACTTGCATGGCAACATGAAAGTAGGGGATTTGTTCAAAGTAGGCAACAATTTTCTGCTCACAATTCCCTCCAATATTGAAAGATGTTGGGCTTAGATTGAATGATTACTGAATATTTGACCAAAATTGTATCCACTCAGCCCTTCAAATACGCTCGGTTTTCACTGCATCGTGCTCTCTTCATTTCAAGGAAGCCGAAAATGTACAGCATACCACTTCAGGAATGTTGTACTTTTTGGCCAGAATAGGTTTATTACCAAGTTCCCTTCCTCCATTTCCCTCCGAAGTCGTTAAATTTTACACTTTAATTCATCCAGTACAGTTTTGCTAAAATGTGAAGCAAATTGGTCTTTCTACGCTTTATCAGTCTTTCCCTGCTAGTAGCTCCGACCTTTTTGCGTTTCGCCGTTTCTTCACATGTTCCGAAAGGAGGTGGGAAATCGATACAAAGCAACGCACTGTCTGCATTATGCCAGTACCCCATCAATTTAAACAGAAGGGCTGTTTGGTCATTAAGTGCTCCAATATTCCAGTCTTTGTGGCTACCTTTAAGGGCGCATTTGCAGAATTCCAAAATATATGCACCCGGTTCAGATGGAGCATTTTGCATTTGTGATTACTTGCTGAATTCGGCTGAATGTTAGCTTTAAATGTTATTGTTAAGAGGAATGATTGGAATGCAGTTATCTTCCACGCCTATCTCCTCTTGTGCTTCGCTTATTTTCAGCGAGAATTCCTCTCCACTTTTCCCCTCTTCGATTGTGTTGGTGGCGGAATGACCGATAAGTCCGTGCTCTGGCGTTTTCTCCTACTGGGCCAGTGTACTTCCCAGCTGCAACCCTCCATTAGACCATTGCTCGAAAAACAAGTTCTAGAGCGAGTCAGCTACCTTCTGCGCTCCCGTTCAGCTTTAACCTCACCCAATGCAGCTACTGACTGGCTACTTGATGTCGTGAGTGCATAATTGCAAATTAGACTGCTCGGCCTTTGCCTTTATCTTTCTTGTCAAAACAGAGCGCAATTTTAAACACCTTGGGTAGCTGAAGGTTGCAATTGTAATTACTTATACATCGCTGACATAGTGGTTTACTATCACGTCTGCGAAGTTAGAGTGATCTACCCTATCTAATCTGATCACAAAATCGATATCCGAATATCAGCTTCTCATCAGATGCCGCCCAAATGCCATCTATGGGAGTTGGGAAATTTTGCTCTTCAGTGAAATTGGTAGACGTAATTATTTATTTCAAATGGCAGGCGTTTTGATAGATATCATTAG